TATATATATATATATATATATATATATATATATATATATATTGATATAGGATAAATGATAATATTATTGATTTGTTGATGTGTTATTGTGAGAATGTTTTAGGCATTTAGGCATGATATGTTGCATGAGTATTGACTTGTTGAAGTGTTGATAGTGAGAATGTTATAGACATTTAGGCATATTGATTGACTTAAAACTAGAAGATTTGGATATTTCATAGTGTGAATATTGGTGTAGTGCTCTATAAGCTAAATTGTTAAAAAAAAAACTCTCATTAAGTAGACGTTGTCTCTGGAGTGGATTGTTAAGCCTCCTCTAAGTCCTTAGTTAATGTTGAAGTAAGGTATGAAGTTGAGGGTTGAAACCCTTAACTAATTACTAAAGAAGTGTGTGGTATCGTGAGGAAAGTTAGCGGGTTAAATCCATAGGTGACTTAGTTTATGCATGTCAAGGTTGTGGTACACCCGTACCCAAGTTATGTTATACTTGAAAATGGTACTAAACTTTCCTAGATTAAGTGGCGACATCTAAGAAATCATATTGTAGGAATTGGTATCCCAATTGGTTGTTGATATAACAAGTGTAAAAAGATTGGTTGGTTCAATAGGGTCAAGCTACTTAAACTACTCAGCTTAATTAGTGTAGGAGATCTCCAAAAATGAATGCATGATGACATATTAGTTGAGGCGCATGCATATGTGTGATTTTTGGCGTGTTCATATGCTTGTTGATCATGTGGCTTAATGGAATTTATGTGGTGAAATATATATGAATTGTAATATGTTGTAAGTTGCTTACATTTTGTAAGTTGTTTGATACCGTGTTGAGATGTTTTGTTGTCTTGACATGTTGTGGATTGTTGTTAAGTCTCAATTTTACCTCTTTTTGGATAAGACTTATTGAACAATTCCACTCATCCTCTGAACCATTGCAATATAATTGTTCTCTTTTTGGTTCATTTTGTATGCAGATATAACTAACCCAAATTCATCTAACAATACCTTAATACACCTCATTTTTGTGCAGGTATTGAGCTAGAGACTTGAGAATTGAAGACCTATAGGATTGGAAATCCAAGAAGCTAAGGAGTAGAGAAGAGTTAATGCGCCGGGCGCAACATTACCCGCGCCGGGCGTGATCGAGACAGAGAACTCCTCTGGAAGCCATTGTGCCTGGCGTAAAATGAATTGTGTCGGGCATGTGTCCTAAGGCAGAGAGTCTCTGAAAGACCCTGCGCTGGGCGAGAAGACTTAAGCGCCGGGCGCGAAACCCTAATCTGATCTCCCCAAGCTCGTATTTGAAGCCATTTTCGAGGGAGAAACCCTCATTCATGCAAGGGCGCCTCCTTGGAGCTGTAGAAGGAATTCTCAGAGCTTGGGAACGTTCGTGTGTGGATCTTTCCATCGGTTCTTCACTTCTCCTTTCATCTCTATTTTGTATTTACCCTCATTGTTGAGTGGTTCCACCCATTTTTGTGGGGTTAGATGTAACCAACGTACTCTATTGTAATCCTTACGTTTTTAATGATATATATATGTATTGTTTCATTCTTTGTTGTGTACGTTTCTACGCTTAATGCTTGCTTTAGATTGATCACCCTTTGCATGATTTAAGGTTCCATTGAGTATTGGGAAATACCATTGAAACTAGTTCTGGAACATATGCCTAGTGGAGATTGTATCTAGGGATAGAGCTTGACCCATTAGTAGTCTTAAACCCTAGCCCGTAATGCGGGTGTAGATATTGGGTACTCAAGGGATTGATATTCAATGTCCGCACCTAGACTCTTTCTCTAAGGGATTAGGTTTGAGTAAACTTATGGGTTGACTAAGCAATGTATGTAACAAGAGATTAAGGATTCATTAGTCTGACGTTTGGTGAAATCTAACCCCCACAACCTCAAAACCATTATACCATTTCTATCCTTTTCCACTCACAAACCAATATTTATTTATAGCTTTCATTCCAATAGTCACAACTTTGAATTCACAGCACAAACTATGAAATTGGAATTATTCTTTAGTCACGAATAGTCAATAAATGTTTATTTTACCTTCTAATCCCTGTGGATACGATATTTTTACTACTTGAACGGCCGGTATACTTGTCGTGTTTGAGACCGTTGATAGAATTAAACGAATTTACAAATATTAACAAAAGTGTTTCAACGGAAATCTCAACAATTGTGAAGTGTTTGGCAGTGTGGTTTATGTGATGTGGTGGGTAGTATAGTTTTATTTACTTCTATACTTGTATTATTATTGTATTCTTTGAAATATTAACTTATACTTTCATGTTTCCATATGATTAGACTGTGATGATCAAGTTTACATGGAAGTAGGATATGATTTAATGCTCATTTTCTCTCATAGTCTTTTATATATGTCTAAGAAATTAAAAGAGTATGATGTAAGTAACTAGTCCGCTGAGCCCTTTCCAAACATTTGATTTGAGTTTTGAATTCTTTAGAATCAAGAAAGCTCATCTATTGAGCCATATATGATTCGCTAAGCCCTTCTAGATTCAAATTTCTTGCTTCTCTAGACCACATTCGTTCAGCCTTTTCCAAACGGTTGAACAAATTTTCTCTGCAACCAATTAACCTTGTTTTTTTTTAATCTCTAATCCACTGAGCACATGTAAAATGGCTAAGCGAATTTGTGAATTTTTTTGGATACTAGGACTTGATCAAATTTGCATGAAAAAAAGGATTCATAAGTCAAAGATCTATCAACTTTTCACAAACTAACTAATTTACACATCCTTTTGATTCTTTGAATATCGTAGGAGTTAAAACACATTTTTATTTTAAACTTAGTTAGATAAATATTAAAAAAAATTATAATTTTTAAGTAAAATAGACATTTATCACTAAACATCAATGTTAAATTGTGTTAATAGAATTAATGACAAAAATAAAATTTGATACATTTTAAAAAAGAAAGGACCAAAAATTAATGTTTTAAAAAATGAGAATAAAAATGTTTTACATTACATGGATAAAAAACTTAACTCTTA